GTGTGTGTGTGTGTGTGTGTGTGTGTGTGTGTGTGTGTGTGTGTGTGTGTGTGTAGGCCGCACCACAAAGGCCCACTTGGAGTCAGTGGTCTTAGTACACACTGAGGTCAGTCAGTAGAGTTAATACTTTTTTTCTTTAACCAAAGTCACCTGTGCATATTAGCTAGAGCTTCATTTATGATTGAGATTTGCCTGGTGATGACAGAAGAGGAGGCAACATAATGAGGATATATGGTGGACCCTCACGTCACAACTGGCTTGATACAGGAACAACTTGGGTTACAACTGGAATTTTAACAAAGTCTTGAGTTACAACCCAAGTGCTGGCTGCTTGTCCAGATGGTCTCAGATACAGATTTAACCCTTAAAGAATTCTGGGGTTAATTGAGAAATCCTGGGCCAACGTCTCTCTAAGGAGACTGAGATCTGCCTATAAACAGGAGAGGGACTTTAAAGACTGAGACTTCAATTGACTAACGAGTTATAGCCAGCCCTTGGGAATTAATTGAGTTTGTAAGTCAAGGGTTGGCCCACTGTATTCAGAGGAGGAGGCTTTTAAATGGTGAGCCACTAAGCTGAGTGAAAAGGTGGTGGAATTAATGGAAGAACTGGGCTTTTAAAATGTTGGAGTAGAGTCTTTGAAGAGAGGAGTTAGAAAGGTGGGCATTGCTGGAGAGTGGGATTGTATAAATTGAGGCTGTAGAGGTGTCAGCTAACTGGATGTGACTGTAGGACGAGTAACCAAAGCCTGGAGAAGTATGGATTGTGGGAAGAGAGAAGGATGTCATCGGGTATTCTTAGGAGAGCAGTGTTAGAGAGTGTCTTGGCCAGGAGCTGAAATCCTGAGGATCAAGGTTGGGGTGTTGTGTTGGCTGCCCCAGCAAGGAGGATTAGGGATGGCTCGGTCTGGTAATGTGAGACTCAAAGCTGGAATCTTAGGGAGGCAGGTGCGATACATTCCATTTCCTGCTTCCAAGTCCTGGAAATTCTGTCTCAGGCTGGGGCAGAGTTTAGGCAGAGGTGATTTCATTAAACTCACTGATGATTAAAATGTACAGCCAGGATTGTATCCCTGTTCCATCTGCAGGAAAGCGGTTGGGTAATTTGGATCGATGAATACACATTTCATCAGGAATCAGGAAAGAGATTTGGGAGTTTGGGAGGAGTGGGGGGGGGCATCTTTGGATTTCCTATCCTGTGGCTTGCCTATTTATACTCATGATTCTTTTTTTCCTGTTAGTAAGTGTTGACTTTTTGTTTTGAGTTGAGCCTTATAGAACAGTATGTTGGGATTTAATATTGAGAAGTATGTGCCTGTCCACATCACGAAGTGAGCATGAGCATCCAGAAGTTGGTACTTGCACCCCTCCTTTTCATTATCCCCTCCACCAAGACTGTCTCATTTTTATAAAGAACTGCATTCTGCTTCCCTTGAACAATGTGTAGATTTCTTCATGTCAGAGTGTACTGGCTGTGATAAGTTCTGTTTTCTCTTGAGGTACATGGGCTACTTAGAAGATGGCTTATAAAATCAAAGAGAACATTTTTTTTTTAATTTAAAAACTGGTCCCCTGGCAGATCCATGAGGATGGGGACATAAGAGAGCCTGGCTTTCTCTGCTGTGCCTGCATCAGCTGTACCCTTGTATGACAGAAGATGGTCTGTTTTGGATATGTGCTCTAGGTAACAGGACCTCAGCTGGTTGGCTACAGGTAGTTAGGACCCCACACCTGCTTGATTGCTGTTTGGGGTCTAGGAGAAGGATTATAAACAGTATAAGCGAGGTATAATACAAGGAACAGCTCCAGAATAATCACCAAAGCTTTTCTTAACTATGAAATGTATTGAGTAGATATAAATTACCAGCTTCTGCTTTTGGCATTGGCATCTATCAATTTCCACTATTTTGACTACTGCTGTTCAGAAGAAGAGGGGCAGGGGCTGAATTTTTTGACTCATAGATTGAACACAACTTCATTTTTCATTTCTGGGAAGAAAGCAAGGTTGTAAAAGCTGTAGGACCTTATAATGAAGCTCTTCATTACTACCAGGAGCAGGAAATACCGGTCTGTTTAGCTATATCTTTAGAATCTATTGAAAATAACTTCATAACTATTAAACCACATTGGAGAAAATAATGCAAATATATTGCTTGTTTGTTTTCAACATATGTAGTTACATTGTACCATATTTTTAAAAATTTTTCAAAGTTTAGATGAGTACAATATTAGATGTTTAAATGTATCAGTAACTTATTAAGTGTTTTGAGTGGAATGTATTCATCCACATTTCTGTTTCATTCTGTTTTACTACCTGTTAAAGTAGTGACATAGTTCAGGTGCTGTGTGATATTATTTGGTAGTGAATGAAGACAGTTTAACATATTGGATGGCTGGGTGTGGTAGTGCTCACCTGTAATCCCAACACTCAGGAGGCTGAGGCAGGAGGATCCCAGGGAGTTCAAGGCCAGCCTAGGCTACATGGTGAGTTTAAGGCCATCCTGAACTGCATAAGAGAGACCCTGTCTCAAAAAAAAATTTTTTTTGACTGGTCATATTCCTAGGTAACCCTGTGGGGTTTTTTTCTTTTGTTTGTTTGTATTTTAAATAATTTGAGTAAAAAGATCAATGATTACCAGGGATTGGGAGGAAAATGGGATGGATAGGTAAAAAGACAGGATATTTAGGGCAGTGAACTGCTCTGTGATACTGTAATAGTGGACACATTTCATAGTACATTTATCTAAACCCAGAATATGTATACTACCATAAGATAGGCATGCATGGTGATACATACCTATAATCCCAGCATTCTGGGGGGGCTAAGGCAAAAGGCTTGTAAGACCCTGTCTCAAAAAAGAAAAAGAAAGGGCTGGGGCTATAGCTTAGGGAGAAGGCCCCAAGTGCAATCTCTAGTAACATAGTCCCTCACCCCGTGCAAAGAGTGAACCATATTGTGAACTATGAACTTCGGGTGATAATGTTGTATATGTGTGGGTTTATCATTTGTAATAAATGTTCCATTCTGGTGTAGATGTTGATTTTTGGGACAGTCAGGGTGTGTAGGGGAAGAGGTATATTGTGACTTTATACTTAATGCTCGGTGTTACTGTGAGCCTAAAACTACTCCAAAATATAGTTCATTAGAGGAATAAAAAAGTAATTTGTAGCCTTTCTCAATGGCATGTTGCAATATTTAATAGAACCCTATAAAACAAAACAAAACCCTTTTTGTCTTTCCCTTGGACAGTAATCCTCATTTACTAATGTTTGCTAAAGGTGAAATATATGAAAATAACTGTCATCTTCTCAAATATTAAAGTCTCATCAATATCCAAGTGAGTAAACCTAGTCTTTCAGAGATTGTAGAGACCAGGGAGCTCAGGTCTTCAGACTTTTAATTCATTGTCACTTGAATTATAACTTTGAGTCTGTGGTCACTTTGTGAATACTGTATCTCTAAATCTGGTGTGATATCCTTAAAATGTTGACTCTGCAGTTTCATTTTACACATTCATTGTTTAGAACAGAAATTTCTTTATAACACTGAAGTACTCTCTTATTGTGTATATACTTATTTGTGAATTCTTCAAGAGAGCTTTGCGTTTTTATACAAATGTTAATTGGGGCCAATAAAGAAACATCTTAATTGCTGTTTTGAAGACAGTTTCCCTCACTTTTATGGAGACTGTTCTTTATACTTCTCAGTATTCCTTTGATACATTTGTATAGGATCTTTTAAAATTAAAAAAAAAAGTTTTTTAGTGTATGTATATTTTTAGTATACGCCAAAGTTAAGCACTATACTTTATCTTTTTAAAAATAGTATTCAAAGATCATGTAGAATGGCTATTCATTTGATTGATTTTTAAAGTTATATTGTGAGTATTCGGTTGATCATTAGTTTCATAACTCATAAATGCTCCTGAATGACACTTTCTGTTTCTTAGGGCCTACATTCTTCAGCTTTCTCAGCCTTTCTTCCCCAGCACAAAAGATTGAGTAACAAATTTTTCACCTTTTTTTTCCTCTAGAGGTAAACTACTTTGTATATTTTAATAGTTTGAATCGTCAAAATATGTCACCTTTTGGCTATTTTTACTTAAGACAGAGTAAGTTGAAAATTTAAGTGCTGACGAGGCTATAAAGACTCTTTAAGGTATAATTTATCTGGCTTCAAAACAGAAAAGTCTATTCTTCTACTCTCTCTTCCCGTGGGAAGATGAAATGCTAAACCTTGGTTTCAAATTGAAGGAGAATAAATTTGTCATTTTTGTTTTTTTTGCTTTCTTCATAGCATTTTCACTTGGAAGGGCCTTCAGGCAATACTTTAAAATTGATCAACCTTTTCATTTTACAGGTGAGGAAGGACACACAAGTGACTTTCCTAAGATCTTATAGCTAGTACTAGAGCCAGTGCTCCGTTTTAGACTCTGGAATCTAACCTGGTTTACTTCTAAATTCTTTATACTTCATACTCATAATGCCCAGCCAGTCTGTTCTGAGCCAGCCCGGTCTGTAGAACTACTGATGCCTCCATGGCAACCTTGCTGATACAACTTTAAACATAGGCTTGGAATCACAGTGGTAGTGTATTTTGCCCTAGCTTGTGCTGTTATTCTCTTAATCAGCAGTGCTTTATCCATTCAAATTGGTGGAGAAATTCCTATGGGCAGCTGGTAAAAGCACCGCAATAGGCTGAATAATGGACCCCTAAACATGTTTGGGCCCCAATCCTTAGAACCTGTGAACATGTTAGGTGACTTGGCAGAAGGGAATAGAAATTGCTAATCATCTGACTTTGGAGATTATCTGGAATTATCTGTAATCACAGGTTTCTAAAAGTGAAAGAGGAAAGAAGAGGGAACCAGAGAGATTGCTGTGGGCAAAGGACTAGGATGGCAGTTCCTAGCTTTGAAGCTGTGGGGAAGGGCTGTGAGCTCAGGAAATGCCTCCAAGGATTGAAAAGGTAAAGAAATATTCTCTCATCCAGCCTCAGAAGAGACTGTATCTTGCTGACACTTTGATCTCCACCTAGTAAGATCAATGTTGGACTTGATTGACAGAACTCTAACATGATAAACTCATGTTATTTTAAGCCACTAAATTTGTGAGAATGTGTTATGGTAGCCATAGAAAACTAATAACAAGCATTTATACCACTCCTCAGAAAAAGATCATGAACTTTGTTTTCCCCCTTCTGTCATTGTCTGGTTGTTTCATTGACTACTTTGATTTCCTATGTATCCAGACTCCATGATCAAAAAAAACTACAACAAAGAACATAATACTGGAGATTCTAGAAATTCAACATAGAACAGAATATTAAAAGCTGTTAGACAAAAGAAACAAATCACTTGTAAAGGAAAGCCCATCAAAATCACAGCAGACTTCTCAACACAAACCTCAAGTCAAGGTGAGCTTGAAGTGAAGTATTTCAATCCCTAAAAGAAAACAACCTCCAAACCAGGTTGAAGTACCCTACAATACTATCTTTCAAAATTGATGTAGAAATAAGATATTTCTATGACAAAGAACACCTGAAGAAATTCATGACCACCAAACCAGCACTCCAAAATGTTCCGAAGGACATACCAGAGAGAGATAATGAGAATTACAACTTCATGAACCCCAACAGAATGACTAGGAAGGCAGGTACTTAAACATAGGGGAAAAGAACCAACAACAAGGAAATAACATGAAAAAAGATAAGTCTGTACGTATCAGTTTTGACCATCAATGTAAGTGGTTTCCACTCACTAATCAAAAGAAACAGATTGGCAGAATGGATCAAGAAGCAAGATCCAACAATATACTGGGTATAAGAAACACATTTAAGTCAAAAAAGAAATTCACAGACTGAAAGTCAAAGGATGGAAAACTACTCAGTGTGACAGGAACCTAGAAAAAAGCAGGAGTAACTGTTCTATTTGTAGACAAAATGGATTTCAAGCCAAGCTGATTAAGAGAGACTAAGAAGGTCATTACATCCTTGTATAGGGAAATAGTCCAAGAGATAAAAATCATAAATATGTATGCCCCAAACACCAGTGTACCCAATTATATAAAACAAATATTTACAGACACAAAAAAATCAAATAAGCACTAATATAACTGTAATGGGAGACCTCAGTGCTCCCACTGTCACAGGTAAATCAGCTAACTAAAAAAATCAACAAAGAAATGTCAAGAACTGAACCAAACTTTTGAACCAATTGGCTTAGTAGATGTCTGCAGAGTGTTCCATCCCTCAACATCAGTAACTCATTTTTCTCAGCTGTAAAATTTACCACATACTACCTCATAGAATATGCTTAAGTAAATGCAAAGGAAATGAAATTATCCCATGCAAATTACCATACCATAGTGCAATTAATTGGAAATCAGTGTCAAAAGAAACCACAAAAACTTCATAAATACATGGAAATTAAATAACACCCCTCTGAACAAACAGTGGGTCGCAGATGAAATTAGACCATTTCTATAATTAAATGATAATCCCAGTACAACATACTATAATTTATGGCATGCAGTGAAAGCTGTCTTCTGAGAGAAATTTATACCAGTGAATTCTCATATCAGAAAAACAGAACAAGCTCAAATAAATAACCTAATATTAAATCTCAAGCTTTTAGAAAAAAAAAGAGCAAATCAAGTTCAAAGCTCGTATGAGGGAAGAAATTATAAAGATCAGAGCAGAAACTAATGCAGTGGAGACTAAAAAGACAATGTGAAGAATTGGTGAATGGAAGAGTCGGTTCTCTGAAAGCTTAAGTAAAATTGACAATAGCCAACCCTATCAAAAAAAAAAGAATCGAATCCATGCAATTTGGATTTAAAAGGGTGAAATCACAACAAATCCTGCAGGAATCCAGAAGATTATTGATATTTACTTCAAGTACCTGTATTCTAATAAGATGAAAGACACAGAAGAAATGAACAAATTCCTAGATACTTATGAATTACCAAAGCTGAATCAAGAAGATATAAAAATTCTAAATAAACCAATATCAGTCAGTGAAAATGAAGATATAATTAAAAACCTACAAAAAAAGAAAAGCCCAGGTCCTGAAGATTCCCTGCTGAATCCTACAAGAAATTTGGAGAAGACCTAATGCTGCTACTTTTCACATTCTTTAATAAAATACAAAGGGAAACAATACTCCAAATTCATTCCTGGAAGCAAACATTATTACTCTGAAACCAAAACCAGAGAAGGATTCAACCAAAAAAGAGGACTGCAGACCAGTCTCCCTAATGAATATAGATGTGAAAATCCTCAATGAGATATCGGCAAACAGAATGCAGCAAATCATCCAGATTACACACTATCCTATGGATGTTGGATGGTTCAACTTTTACAAATCAACAAATGTCATATACTATAATAACAGAGCCAAGTACAAAAGCCACATGATCATCACAGTAGATGCAGAAAAATCACTGGGCAAAGTCCATTGCCCATTCATAATAAAACCCTACAGAAAATTGGAATAGATGGTCTTTATCTCAGTTTGTTTGATAAAAGCCATTTATAACAGACCAACAGCCAACATGATATTAAATGGACTAAAAGTGAAAGCTTTCACTCTAAAGTCAGGAACAAGACAAGGATGTCTACTGTCATCACTTTTTTTCAATATAGTTCTAGAAACATTGGCCAGAGCAATTAGACAAGAGAAAGAAATAAAAGGAATAAGAATAGGAAAGGGAGACGTTAAATCATGACTATTTGCAGATGGCATGTTAGTCTACATAGAAGACCTAAAACCTCACATTTGTGACTTCTAGATATAATAACTAAATGCAGTAATGTAGCTGGATATAAAGTGAACACTCAAAATTCAATAGCATTCCTGTACACAACAAACTCACTGAGAGAGAAATTAGTGAAACAGCCCCTTTCACAATAGCATTCAAAAAAAATGAAATACCTAGGAATCAATCTAATAAAAGAGGTAAAAGACCTTTACATTGAAAACTACATTACTCTGAAAAAGGAGATTGAAGAGGGTATCAGAAAATGGGAAGATATCCTTGTTCTTGGGTAAGAGCCAATATGGTGAAAATGGCCATACTTCCAAAGTCTTATACAGCTTTAATGAAATTCTGATCAAAATAACAATAACATAATCTCACAGGATTACAGTAAACAATCCTAAAATTCATTTGAAATCAGAAGAGACCTAGAATAACAAAGCAATTCTGGGCTCCTGTGATAAAAACAATATGATACTGGTAAATACTAAATAAAGCAAGAGATGAAAGAAAGAAAGGAAGAAAGGGAGGGAATTAGGGAAGGAGGCAGGGAGAAGAGAAGAAACCCAGACCTGAAGAGCAATGGAACAGATTAGAAGATGCAGAAGTAACTCCAAACATACTCAGCCACCTTATGTTTGACAGAGGTCAAACACTCAAACACCTTCACCAGAAGAAAGATAGCCTCTCTAACAAATTGTGCTCAGAAAACTGTATTTCCATGTGCCAAAGATTAAAACTAGATCCCTATCTTTACCATGTACTAAACTAAAACTGAAAGGGAACAAAGATCTAAATAGTAGTCCAAGTATATAGTTCAGTGATGCAGCACCTGCCTAGCGAGCACGAGGCCCTGAGTTCAATTCCTGGTACAAGACAAAAACAAAATATTAAATCAGAAACACTAAATCTGCTGGGAGATAGAATTTTTGAACATTTGAAGACACTGGTATAGGTAAAGACTTCATGAACAAATCCAGATCACATAGGCATTATCACAATCAACAACTGGGATCTCATCTTATTAAGAAGCTTTTGCACAGCAAAAGAAATCACCAGTAGAGTGAAAAGACAGCCCACAGTATGGGAGAAGTATTTTGCCAGCTGTTCATCAAACAAATAACTAATATATATAATCTATAAAGAACTCCATAAAATCAGACGCCTCAAATTTAAATGTCCAAAAATGGACATGAATAGACACCCCTTAGATGAAGTAGAAATTCCAAATAAATATGTGAAAAAATATTCAACATCACTGGTAATTTGAGAGATGCAAATAAAAACAATATACTGAGATTACATCTCATTACAGAAAGAGTGGCTGTTATCAAGAATCAACCAATAACAAGTGCTGGCAGGGACATAGGGGAAAAGAAACCTTTCTCCACTGTTGGTGGGAGTATAGACTGGTGCAACCACTGTGGAAGTCAGTGTGATTTCTCGAAAAATTAAACTAGAGGTTCCATTTGACCCAGCTATTCCCCTTCTTGGTATCTTCCTGGAAGAATTAAAAGCATCATACCACAGCAATATCTCTGCACCCATGTTTATAACAGCACAGCTTGTTAAATAGCTAAATCTTGGAAATAGCACAGGTGCTCATCAACTGACAAATGGATAAAGAATAAATATGTGCTCTTCTCACACAATGTACTACTCTTAACATAAGGAAGGAGAAGCTTTGAGACATTTCTAGCTAAATAAATGCACCTTGAGACCATACTCTTAAATAAATTGGACACACATGTTTAAATACTGCATTGTTTTTCGGGTGTGAGAATTGGAAAGTAGAAATTAGGGCCAAAATGTATAGTAGATATTGGGAAATGGGAAGGAAATGTTCAAATGAGAAGGGGAACTAAGGAGGTGGGAGGGGGAAAGGAAGAAATGGACAAGAATAAAACAGAATAGAAGAGGGAAATGGAAACAAAGCTTTTGTAAATGAGGGGAAGAGGGATTGAAGGGAGGTAAAAGGAATGGGGGAAAAAGTAAGATACATCATTACAGGTACAAATTCCCTATGATAAATGTTATCATTATGATTATCTGAAATGTGTCAGTATATCGTGTGATTGTGCATCACCTTGGTATGGTAGAAGAGGGATTAGCCAATTATTGTCTGTGGGCCAAGTCAAACCGCTATCTGTTTTTTGAAAATAAAGTTTAATTGGATAAAAATTCTATCTGAGGGCTGTAATACCCAATCTC